TTAGGAAGTGTTAGAATGCTCAAAACCCATCAGGCCCTTCGAACCTCCAGATCTCGAATCAGCGGGAAATGGCGGTAGGCTGAGCCTGCACCTGTCGTCTGTCCCTCCTATGAGACTCGGCCTCCCCCTTGACATGCGTCTCCAACTCGATCTCCCTCTTCTGGGCATTTTCCTGGAGCTCAGCAAATGTCCGGTATGATAAGTTTGCCACGAACTCACGAATATCCCTCCTCAGAATGCTCAAGTATCGGCTAATACGTGCCTGCTCAAGAGACACGTGATCAGGGCAAAACAATGCCCTCTCGTGAAACATCCTCGTAATCGTTGTCACATACTCAGTTCCCTGCTTGATGGACAAGAACTCCTGGGCTAAACGTTCCCTCTCCACAGGGGGGACATACTCATCTCGAAACATCGCGGTGAACCTCTCCCAAGTCACCACGGTAAGCTCTGCCTTAGTGAAGTCCGTCGTCACAAACTTCCACAAGTCCTTCGCCCCCAAGCGAAGCTGGTTCAGTGCAAACCGAACCCTCAGATGCTTCGGACACGAGCATGCATAAAAGCATCCCTCGATATCATAAATCCACCTCATCGCAACAATCGGATCTTGCATCCCATTAAACTCCAGTGGCTTTGTGTTGTAGAACTCCCGGTACAGCAACGATTCACCCCCCTGAGGTCTAGCAGCAGCCACAGCCACAGTAGCTGCAGCATCCGCATCCTCAGTAATTGTTGCGTATCTCTTGTCGAATGTCTCAATCAGGGTGGTCTTTATAGACCCAAACATCTCTGGTATCTCTGCGCAGATAGCCACAGCCACCTCATCGTAGATCATCTGACGAAGCTCCTCGTCACTCATGCCGCTGGTCTCTGGTCTGTGGCGTATCGCAACCATGATGTCTCTGAAATACAAAATTAAAATATCAGAGACTTGCTAGAGTATACTCACACTCGATAAATCAACCCTACTTGCTCCTTAGTACCCTAAGGATTCTTACTTGGACTGCGCACTGATCCGATGTCTTCAGTAGTACGGGCCATATACTACCGTCCACACCACATCAGTATTCACCCCAAGTCCTCCTCCTAGGGTCCCAGATCACAAGTACTCTAATCTCGCTATGCGTAGGCTACTCTCCAGCAGACCTCTCGTAAGCTCCTCACTGTTACCTACTCACTCTCAAGCATCTCATAGCAGCAGTAATCTCCTAGGCTAAGGCATCACAGATCAGGCCACTCTAGTCCTAATATGAATACCTAGCCTACTCTAGCATGCATAACATATCATATCATATCTCATAACAGATAATGTAAGGGTATTTTGGGAAATTACCGTTCGGGCGCTGGCTGATCGTACACACTGCTCTGTTCTACTTCTTTCAAAACCTTTTACTCTTTTAGAAAAATTGTTTTATTGTGAAAAATTTCTCAAATCCTCAGTTTGAGTTCAGATACGCCCGAAGGTGAATCCGAACCCCTCAAACCAAGGCTCTAATACCAACTTGTAACGACGTAAATTTTCAAAACATTTTTTTTTCATTTTAAACACCTAATTCATTCATAAAGAAATCCAAAAATTCAGTGTGCACATATCATCCGATGAAAACAAATCCCAAGATCTCAATACATAAAATCCCTTAGTGCGTACGACTCATGCTGGCGCCTTCCCACGATCGTCGCTGGTACCTGAAACACATATCACATAACACGGTAAGCATAAATGCTTAGTGAGTTCCCAAAAATACCACATACAACACATACGCCACTCGAGGCTATAGTACGACCCTCCGATCGATGTGTCTCAGCGGGACGCTCCAGTCCCGTAGCTCGTTGGACCCTCTGGTCCGATCATAGCTCGTTGGACGCTTTGGTCCGGTCTGTATCGTTGGACCCTTCGGTCCGGTCTATATCGTTGGACCCTCCGGTCCGGTCTATACAACACATAGCATACATATAACACAATTCACATAATATCATACATACACATAGCACACAAGACCCCCCGGTCTACACATAGATACCACTCTAGGTAATGTATAATGAGAAGACTCACCTCGAATAATCTTGCACACGAATATACTGATCTAGCCCATGCCTAATCACATAACAATATCCTCAAATAAATAATGGCTCTCAATGGCTAGATTAAATCCTTTCCTACAATCCCACAAAAGGGTAAAAGACCATTTTACCCCTCCTTGACCCAAAAGTCCAAATGTTGACTAAAACCCTAAAAGTCAACAGGGAACAGTACGCGGGGCGTACCAACTTGTGTACTCGGGGCGTACACCGGCGATCCAGAATCGGGGTCTCAGACCCTTACGCTGCGCGTACTGAGATTTACACCCATCGTAAGTCTCATTTTCATGCATTTATGGATTTTTGGTCTTACATGGTTAAGACATACACTCAAACTTCAGATCTGACTTCTCTAAGGTCATTTAATCCATAAATTTGAAGCCTTTAAGCCTTTGCATGGCTGAAAAGGTTATAACTCCTTCCAACTTCTTATCCCCTTTTCTCATTAAGACCATAACTTATGCATGACTCCATAATGATGGCCAAGATTGGATTTTTATGGATCTAAAACACATATAACACTGAAATGGGATAGATCTAGGTCCATGGAGTCTCTTTGCCCATAAAGTCTCCATCTTTGGGACTTAAACCCTAAAAATGGCCCATAATACACAAATCTAATGAAGAGGAAAGTTCTGAGCTTTTTGCCTCCAAGTGATGTTTCCCCCTTTGCAAAGTTCAGATCTAAAGCTTGCACTCCAAGACTAGCTTCTACAAAGGTCCTCTCTTCTTCTTCACAAACACACAAAGGAACTTCAAGCTCAAACACACACACACACAAAAGCTTAGAACAAAGGTTGTCTCTCTCTTAGGGTTTCACTCTCTCAAATGGTGGCTGAGGATAAGGCCATAACTTTCTTTATATAGGGTTCAAGTCTCATTTAGGGTTTTGAGTCTAGACCCGCTACGCCCAGCGTAGCCTAAGGTACGCTCAGCGTACCGGGTGGAGTTCGCGTTCAAAACATGCCCATGAGTACGCACAATATACTCTTCATTACGCCTAGCATACTCATTTGCCATAATCTTCTTTTAAGGGCTAAACTTGACAATTTAGAAAGGAGGAAGGGTTAAATAGATATACCTGAATTTCAGTATGTTACATCCGCATGGGGTCGATCGGGGATTACTCGGGATTCTATAACTCGCCTCAGTAAGGGGCCGAATAGCGTGTACTCAGAGGAGTAATCGACCAACTCGGCGAGTTTTATAACACTGGGGAAAGAGTAAAATGGCCTTTTACCCTAAGAGTCGAGTTTAATGAATTAGATTCTTGGTATGATTTATGGCCTAATTATTAATTAGGGTATTATTTGATTGATTAGTACGGGGATTCTTCGATTCAGCAGCTTGAGCATCTATTTTTTTATCAGTGGATCGATGTGAGTTTGCTCACAATACTATAGGACACTAAGGTTGTATGTGTTTGTTGTTTTTGTGACTCTTGTTGTATGTCTGTATGCCTGTATGCTATATGTATGCAGGGTGAAATAGACCCGTATGGTTAAAAAATACCGATTGAGTTGAAATAGACTCGCTGGTGAAATAGACATAGTACAACCTTGAGCTGACATTTAAGTTGAAATAGACTCGGGGGTGAAATAAAACCGGTACAACCTTAAACCGACGTATATGTTAGGTATGTGGTATTTTGGGAACTCACTAAACTTTGTGTTTACGGTTTTCAATTTATGTTTCAGATACTTCCAGTTCGTAGGGGAAAAGCTCGAGATGATTGCATCACACATACCATGATTTTCCACCTTATTTGATCCTGATGCATTTTTGGATGATTGTTGACATACTATGGTTTCCTTTATGATTTTTATAAACATGTTTGGTTGATGGTGTTATTAATATAAAAATGAAATTTTTGGGATGATTCACATTCTAGACATCTATATGAGATCGCGAACATGACATACATGGCTAGGGTTTTAAATCACATATGTGGTGGTGGTGTTCGTGCGATAGAAAAAAAAAGGAGAGTAGCTCGATGAAAGGCGGTGGTGATTTTGTTAGTCAACGGTGACGCCATTAGCAATGACAAAACAAATAGCGGCGACATATTTAGTAGCAACAGTTTTAACGAATTAGCGACGACAGTTATTAACAACGACGTGAAAAAAATATAAGGGGAAAGTCTTACAGTTTTTATTTAGGAGCATTAGTAGCGACACCTTGTCACCCTGTTGCTCTAATGAGAGCTAAGCAAAGCCGTTGGATTGTCTTTTTGATTGATGGCTTGGAATCAACAGAAGCAAAGCACACAAACCGTGAGAACAAAACAATAATTGAGACACTAAGCGCGTCCAACAAGGTGTCACCGATATTGCACATATTTCTTGTAGTGATCATATAATGTCTCCACAACAACCACTCATTCATTTATTCCTATCACAAAATATCATGTCAAATGATGGTATTGCTTCTTACCAAGAAAACGAAATCTCATATACATGAATTATACAAGAGGAAGAAGGCACATATACAAAAAATTTCGGAATGACAAGACTATACGCAAAACCGGTATTAATTCTAAAGCCGAAAATGATCATAAGATGTAAAGAAAAAACTAGCAAAATGGCTATCAATTCAAGATGTCTGGATCATGATATTCAGCACTCAACAAAACTAAATAGACCAAACACAATCATGATTTTTGGTACATTAGATTAACATCAACGATAATTAGAAGTTGTGTAGTATCCATCAACAAAGAAAACAAGTCACGCTAGTGTCAAATCAGAAGAAATGTTTGTAATACTAACCTGTGAAGGAACTATTGGCACAAATCCCCCAGAAACATAAACCGATTATCAAACTTACATTTAACTCACAAATGCAATGTGTACAAATGCAAAATTCCGTTTTTTTTTTTGGTTGCAAAAGCAGTGGTTCTTTTTCGAAAAATGAATTTTTCTTTGCATTTAAAACAGCAAAAATATGAAAATATAAGAAACAAGTGCAGAAAATGTAAGATCTATTTAATATTTTACCAATTAACGCTAAGATATTTTGTTTTACTCATTTGATAGTTAATTAATACAACAAACTTATCATTACTCACTTGTAGAAGAAAAAAAAAATGTCACTCGACTTTCATGGCACTAGATAGATGGCAAATTGACCCGGTCACTTGTTTTTTTCCCGTGCTTTGTGCATATTCCATTAACGGAAAAATCGTCTGTAAAACCTCTTGTTAGATAAGAGTAGAATCACTAATCCATACAACTCTTATGCATGATTCCCGCAACAAACTCCTGCATACAGCATAAAACTTCACATCACAATTCACAACCCATCTCGGAAATGAAACTATAAGATCTACAACATTTCTCTACCAATTTCTTGAATCCTCTCTTTGGTACGTGTATACCCTAATATTTATCCTTTTTCCGCCATCCAATTCGATTGTTTCATGTCGACGTATAACTATAATACGATCTTGGGTTTTGAAAAACTCATCTAACGAAAGAATTTGTCTTTGGGGAATTTCGACAAACAGGTTGTAGACATACTGATTACTGATCAATGGAAGCAGAAGTAGCAGCAATGCCATTGCCAACATCAACTGATCATGAGAAAGAGACGCCCACAAGGCTAGAGGTACCAGTTTCCATGTAATCTTGAGAAATTGCGAATCTTTGAATAAGTTTGGATGATATACGAAACTGTGAAATTGCAGGGGAGGTTTACTGCAATGGTGGTGTGCTGGGTTCTTGGAATTGGGTGTTTGTTTTCTTGGAATAGCATGCTGACGATAGAAGATTATTATGTTAATTTGTTTCCGGTAACTTTAAATTACTCCATTTGTATAAAAACTCAAACTTTTTTTTTTTTTAAATTCAAACTAACAATTAACACCTCCATTGCAGAAATATCACCCCTCAAGAATCCTGACGCTCGTTTACCAACCATTCTCCCTCGCAACACTCGCAATACTTGCATACCATGAAGCCACTATAAATACCAGAAAACGGAACTTATTCGGATACATTCTTTTCTTCTTCGGTACTCTCGCTGTTTTGCTTGTAAGTCCCCAAAAATGTCTCGGATTTTTTTGGAAAATTAGAAACCAAGTGATTCCATTTTGTCATTCTGTGTGTATTGTAGTTGGATTTAGCAACATCTGGTAAAGGAGGAATAGGAAGTTTCATCGGGTTGTGTGCAATAAGTGCTGCCTTTGGAGTTGCGGATGCTTATGTGCAAGGTGGAATGATTGGAGACTTGTCATTCATGTTGCCAGAGTTCATTCAAGTTAGTAATTTTCATTTTCAGTTAAAATTATTAAATCTGTTGGTTTTTCACTATGTTATTATATTCTTATATGATAATTCTTTAGTTGTTGGAGTTTTTTAGTCGTTTCTAGCTGGGCTTGCTGCATCTGGAGCTATTACCTCCGGTTTGAGATTGCTCACCAAGGCCGTTTTTGATAATTCGCAAAACGGTTTACGAAAGGGAGCACGTAGGTCCTTCACTTTATGACTTCATAAAGAAAGTAAAAGGGAAATGTTCAAATTTTGTTTACAAAAATTGCTCATTTGTTTTTTCTTTCCATTTTTCGTTGTGATGCTATTTTCTCAAATATTAGAGAAACCTTTGTTTTGCAGTTTTATTCTTCGCATTATGCACAATCTTTGAGTTGCTTTGTGTCCTTCTATATGCGTTTGTGTTCCCAAAGCTTCCAATTGTAAAATACTATCGATCAAAGGCAGCTTCAGAAGGGTCAAAAACGGTTTCAGCCGACCTTGTTGCTGGTGGGATTTATTCACATTCGGGAGAGGTACTTTTTTAGGGCTTAAAGCAAAGAAAGATAACGTGCTTTCATAATTTGTATAAAATAGTACGTGTCTCGCGTCTTTCTTTCTATTACAACGTTGTACATTCAATCTTTACTTCATAAAATCACTTTATTTCAAAAGATTGACACAATTATAGAATTGTGCATTCATTTTTTTCTTATTGTACAGTGAAAAGTGTTTTGTATTTAGATGACCTTGCTATAATTAGGTACATTTGTGAAAGTGTAATTTTGTAATAACATAATTAGGTATATTCTATAATAAACAAATCAATAAAAGTACATTGCTATGTCTGAGTTGCGAAACAATCATTTGATTTGCTAAACTTCAATCGGGTTTTGGTAGGACGAAGCAAACTCCACAATACGTGAAAGATTGAGCAACAAGGAATTGTTACGAGAAAACATAGATTACGCGATGGATATGTTTTTAATATATCTTTTAACATTGTCTATTTTCCCCGGCTTCTTATCTGAAGACACGGGATCACATAGCTTGGGTTCATGGTAACATCAACACTCTCAATATCCATTGTATAATAATAATAATAATAATAATAATAATAATAATTTTTGATAATAACATCATTTGTTGTTAGGTATGCGCTTGTTTTGATTGCGATGTACAATGTGTGGGACCTTGTGGGACGATATATTCCATTAATCAAATGTGTGAAGTTGGAGTCACGAAAGGGACTCATGATAGCGGTTCTTGGGAGATTCTTACTTATACCCGCATTTTATTTCACGGCTAAATATGCCGATCAGGGTTGGATGATATTTTTGACATCGTTTTTGGGGTTATCTAATGGCTATCTTACAGTTTGTGTCCTCACTTCGGCTCCAAAAGGCTACAAGGTACGTTTTCGTGCTATAGCCTTTTAGTTTTATTTATAATTTCTAATGTATGTGTTGTTATTATTGTTTGAAGGGACCCGAACAAAACGCATTGGGGAATATACTTGTGTTGTTTCTTATCGGAGGTCTTTTTGCCGGGGTAACGTCCGACTGGTTGTGGCTAATTGGCAAAGGTTGGTGAGAGAGATAAAATTATGTAAATTAGACGTATTGAAGTAAGCTAGTTTTCTAGAGTAATTTGGTATCAAGTGTAGAAATAAGACATGGTAAATAGTATATATTTGGTTTGATGTTGCATTTTGATCTCATTTCTTTTTCTATTTAGCAAACACAATGAAAGGTCTAGGCATATTCTCGTGTAACATTAGAGGACAAGAAAAACAAAACCAAAATAAGAATGGCAGTGGAAAAGATATGTTGACACGATAAGATATTAAAATACCGTTTACCAATGAGAAAGATTACCAAAAAAAAAAAAAAAAAAAAAAAAAAAAAAAAAAAAAAAAAAAAAAAAACATACAAACTTCACTCCTTTTGTTTAGGTAGTGATATTAATTTATATTTGGTTTTTCTCATATTTATAGTCCATGTTTGTTTGTTTGTTTTTGAGTTATTCCAAAATTATTGTCTAATTCTTGAAATAAATATCATTATTACCAAAATGTTCATCATTATTACTTAACAACCAAAACATTTAATGATGAAATTAAATACAAGAAAGAGTAAAACTGTCATTCTATTAGATAAGATTAATGATAATTAATGTTTCTTTAATTTGTTCATTTTTTTGTCTTTGAAAAATAATTTTGGGACCGTTGGAGTTTACGAGAGACGCTACCAAATAATTTGAGCAAATGTGATTTTTACATGATAAACAAATGTGATTTTTACATGATAAAACGATAAAGGATTGATTATGTTAGAGCATCCATCTATATTGAATTCAATGTATTGTGGAATTATTATCACACCATCCCTTAAATACTTATTCAACTTTACTTTTAACATAATCATAATCACTATTTTATTTTATCTATTGAACTCTATTTAAGAATTGAGAGATCATTGAAATCTTCTGTTAACTTCACTTCATGTAATCACCAAAACTCAATTAAACATTCATCCAATTTGAATCATCACCTCATTTAACTCTTATACTATTTGTATTATGGATTCCATCAAGGGGTGCTTGTTATAGTGAAATAATCAAAGGGAAATTGAATTGTTTTGTATTTTCCTTGTTTGTTTTGGATTAAAATGAAGAAAAAAAGGAAAAAAAATTAATTCCATTTCTATCAATTTTATTCTCTATTATTTATAGGGAAAATGTGAGAAAACATTCATCAAACCTCCGAGAAATAGATAAAACGGAGTATTGAAGAATCCACCCAGCTCTCCACGGTTCGAGCCCGAAACTCTTCAATCAATGATTTTTTTTTTTACTTCTTCATTAAGTTTTTTTTTTTTTTTTTTTTTTTTTTTTTTTTTTTTTTTTTTTTAGATATCGACGAGTTTAAGTCTCTCTTTGATGCGTTCAATATTATAGCATAATCTATCTGCCCTACTATGTCTATCTCAGTCTTAAACAATTTTGCTTTCAATCTTGGCAAACCAAAGTTATCCAATTAAGCTATTTTTGTTTACATGTCATCAATTTACTTGCACCTGTGTTTTAGTTCATCAGTCTTTTGATTTATAATGTGCTTAAGTTCATTTTTTTGACCGACAAATACAAATATATACTAGATTATTCAACATATGTTTACAGTGGACCTTGAACCCTCGACCTTAAGGAGGGATGGTAACACCGGATACCGTTGGACTAAAATAATTTGGACCACGACATAAGTGTCGGTGCACCATGTCATTAGAACCAATGGAGCTTTGTCCAATCCATGTGGTGAAAATAGGTACATATTTCTACAAAAGAAGTTAACCGTACGGAATGTGACAAAAAAAAAAAATAATAAATAAATAAATAAATGTATTAAAGTCCCGCAAAAGTGATTATCTTTGCTTACTAATAATGGATTGGATCAAAGTCTTGTAACCCATGGCTCTGTTATGGCACGATTCAAGCAATACATCTCTTGATTTTGTGTATTTGTTACAAAATATACATATGTATATTTTGATAAAACAAGGTTTTAGTAATAGACTGCCAAATTTAATTATGACTCTAAAAGTGCACCAAAGAAAGGAGAAAAAACCGGGTTATTTAAAAAAAATGAACAATAACATAAAAACCCCCTTAAGTTTGTTAGAAATGTGCTCCTTTACTCTTTTGTGCATTTTAGGTTTACTAATACCAGATTCTTGCAATTTTTTTCGATTTTACCCTTTTTGGAAATTTACCCGATAGAACTAAACATTTCTACAAAAATTAAGAGCTTTAATGAACCAGAAAATTAAACTCAAGAGCTTTTATGAACAAAAAAAAAAACTAAACATTTATGTTAAATGTAAGAGCTTTATTGAACCAGAAATACACAAAAAAGTAAAATCAATCAAAAAGTTGCAAGTATCCTGTATTAATGAACCAGATTAGATTTATTATTTTAAAAAAAAAAATACTAAATTGCAATAAGTTCAAAAAATAAACTAACTTATACATGCCAAACAAAACATAAGTAGTTACATTTAGGAGTGAATATGGTACGGTAACGATTTTTTTTCTCTAAACAATTTAACAGACCAAATTCTAGTTTATATAAAAAAATGTTATCAATACTATGTCAAGTATTCTTTGTACCAATATGTTTGATTACCAACAAATTTGGTTGGTACAAATTGATAATGATATATATCAACTTATATTAATTTTCTATTATAAAATTTAATGATACATTAATACATTGGGTAGCTTTGACGATTAATAAAGAAATTTGTTAGGTAGTTTTTTTTCCTTTACTAAAGAAATCTATTAACGTAACATTAAAATAATGTTTCATATTTGTAATTTAACATGGTCGTAAGTATTAACTAATGTGGTTAACTACTTATATGATGGTCTTAAAACTATAAACACTAAACATAATCGATAGTTGGTATACAATTATATATATATATATATATTCAAATGTTTCTAGCAACTATTGCGTTCCTAAATGCACCAATGAGAATTCAAGAAATAATAAATAACTAAATAAATCATTTAATGTTATATATATATATATATATATATATATATATATATATATATATATATATATATTCAAATGATTCTAGCAACTATTTCGTTTCTAAATGCACCAATGAGAATTCAAGAAATAATAAATAACTAAATAAATCATTTAATGGTATTTTGGATCTTTTGTACTTTTTAATTAAGGAATCATTTAATTGAAAATCCTGCAATTAAGGAAATAAAATCAATATATTTGATATGATCTCTCTCTTATATCATGTCTTATATCTGCGAGTATTCACTTTCCCCGAACTCAAATCGGTCACCAGTGGTTTCAGCCACCATTGGTGTTCATCCTCCTCCAATCGGTCATCAACACAGGATACGAAGTAAGAATCACACGGGTTTCTGTCTCATTCACCATCCGCTTATCCGAGAAAAGGGGATGAAAACTAGAAATCAAGCCAAGCGAAAGCGTCAACCATATGGTATCGTTTTACCATCACTACATTAGAATTTACATCCTTGTTAATTTTACTGTATTTTTCTAGTAGCTACGTTTCTCATTTTCGTAATATACACATGAATATGCAGTTTGATTTTCTGAATACTGAAAGCCCTAGGCACCTTGTATTTGGTTTGCTTGAACTTTTATAGGAGAATGTTACAGCACCCGTCCATTTTATCCCTAAAAGTTGATCGCTTTGAAAAGAAAACGACCTACTTTTTAAATTCTACCTTCTGCGAAGGAAATAGAAAAATGTTGATGAAAGTTTCTTGCAGTTGAATTCTAGCACTGTTATGCTTGAGAAGTAATGTTGGTACCCTAGATTTTGTATATCCAGGAAATAAGTATGCCATAAACTAGATTCAAGAATGTTATTGGAATGCTAAAACTGTTGGGATACCAATTAGTTCTTTTCCCTTTGATTCAAGATTTTTAGATGATAACATTCACTTACCTCTCCATGAACATCAATGATTCGGTTTTAGGTGTATATGTGAATAAAGTTGATTTTTTGACTTCAAAAGCACACACCCAAGCACTTATAATCAAGGGGTCTCTTTGGAAAAACCTTATGATGATGAAGGACTGAATGAAATCCTTTGCTTTACATTTTGTAGGTCAAGATGACACGAATAAGGAAGCTGGAGATGATCCAAAAGCAAATAGTAATGTTTTTGTCACTTCGTGTTTCATCACCACATTGTTTATACACTTGCAATTGTTCATGATCTAAAAACATCTTTAAAACATATTTGACTCTTTTATATAATTATATGTCTAGCATAAATATTTATAAATAATGGAATCAATAAATCAAAGAAAAAAAATGCATAATTAAGCTAATTCTATGAGAATAACATTCTTACCGTATCATCAGGTGTTATCTTCATCTTCAACTGTTTCATTCTTTAAGAATTTTTTGCATTTAAGTTATTCTTCTATTTGAATAATGTGTAAATAGTATTATATTCTTGCAGAATCACAAAAGAATGATTCTGTCATAATTATTTTTTGGTATAATCACATAAAAATGATTATGGTAGAATCACATAAGAATGATTTTGTCGGGATTCTATTGCAACTGGCTTTCATGCAATGCAATTCTGATAGAATGTTAATTGTTTATATGTTTAATGTGCAGTTGTTACAAGTGTATCATTACAAAACATTTGGCAATGAATTTGTGATAAAAATGGCTTGAAGACTTGATGGGAAAAGCTTGAAGAATGAATCAAAGAATGATCACAATCACTGTTTAAGAATGTTGTTATTTTTTTGAAGAATTACACTTGTTATTCTTTCAGAATATTGTTATTATTCATTGAATCACAATCATACAATGTAATTATCTGGTATATCATTAGTTCAAGAATCGATTTTGTGTATTCTTTCAGAATGTATTTACTAGTTTATGGTTGGCATTTTGTCATTCTAACATAATAAAATCGAAAATATATTTGCTAGTTTATGGTTGGAATTCTGTCATTCTAATAGAAGAAAATCGAAAAATATATTTACTAGTTTATGGTTGGTATTCTATCATTCTCACATAATAAAATCGAATTTTTAAATTTGAATTAATTTAAAATATTCAGATTTTTAAAAATAAAGGAATTAATTATCCCTAAAAATCTGAAAATTTCTTTTTTTTAATATAGGTTAATTGACCAAAACACACTTATACTGAAATTTGTATGATTATATGGTATATGTTATCATATTCTAATATCATAGACCTTCACATCATGACCTTCAGATCTATACATTTTGATACACAATATTTAGTAAAAACAAAATAACCTAAGCATATATATATATATATATATATATATATATATATATATATATATATGTGTGTGTGTGTGTGTGTGTGTGTGTGTGTGTATTGAAGCCCATATTTGTGGTTAAAGGCCACATTTCCTAGACACTTCATTAAACTAAAAGTTTTACCATTTAATGTGATATACTTTATTTTAATAAACCCTTTCATTATTTCACCAATTAATGTGATATACTTTTTTATTCTTTATTACAACAAAATTACTTTTTGTTTATGTAACAGTCATTATATAAAATTCAAAAATAATAAATTTATTAATATAAACGATTATAATATGCTGCTATAAATATTTAAATACCTTATTTTATTAAACAAAATTATTATGGAATTCAACATCACTAAGTTTTAGAAGAACAATAAATTTTACACTAACACTCATGGTACCGAATAGCAGTTGACTTGGTCACGATATTTGTTCTCCGTGCTTTGTGGATTCCATTAATGGAAAATCGTATGCAAAAACCTCTTGTTAAAAAAGACTAGAATCAGTAAACCGCGGAACTTTAATTAATCATTCTTATCTTGCAAGATTATATATATATATATATATATATATATATATATATATATATATATATATATATATATATATATATATATATATATATGTGTGTGTGTGTGTGTGTGTATTGAAGCCCATATTTGTGGTTAAAGGCCACATTTCCCAGACACTTCATTAAACTAAAAGTTTTACCATTTAATGTGATATACTTTATTTTAATAAACCCTTTCATTATTTCACCAATTAATGTGATATACATTTTTATTTTTTATTACAACAAAATTACTTTTTGTTTATGTAACAGTCATTATATAAAATTCAAAAATAATAAATTTATTAATATAAACGATTATAATACGTTGCTATAAATATTTAAATACCTTATTTTATTAAACAAAATTATTATGGAATTCAACATCACTAAGTTTTAGAAGAACAATAAATTTTACACTAACACTCATGGTACTGAATAGCAGTTGACTTGGTCATGATATTTGTTCTCCGTGCTTTGTGGATTCCATTAATGGAAAATCGTATGCAAAAACCTCTTGTTAAAAAAGACTAGAATCAGTAAACCGCGGAACTTTATATATATATATATATATATATATATATATATATATATATATATATATATATATATATATATATATATATGTGTGTGTGTGTGTGTGTATTGAAGCCCATATTTGTGGTTAAAGGCCACATTTCCTAGACACTTCATTAAACTAAAAGTTTTACCATTTAATGTGATATACTTTATTTTAATAAACCCTTTCATTATTTCACCAATTAATGTGATATACTTTTTTATTTTTTATTACAACAAAATTACTTTTTGTTTATATAACAGTCATTATATAAAATTCAAAAATAATAAATTTATTAATATAAACGATTATAATATGCTGCTATAAATATTTAAATACCTTATTTTATTAAACAAAATTATTATGGAATTCAACATCACTAAGTTTTAGAAGAACAATAAATTCTACACTAACACTCATGGTACCGAATAGCAGTTGACTTGGTCATGATATTTGTTCTCCGTGCTTTGTGGATTCCATTAATGGAAAATCGTATGCAAAAACCTCTTGTTAAAAAAGACTAGAATCAGTAAACCGCAGAACTTTAATTAATCATTCTTATCTTGCAAGATTCCATCTTATCATGCAAGATTCCAGCATAAAAAGTCCCTGCATAGCGTGTCCATAAAAGGACCTCTACACTTCACAACCCATCTCGGAAATCACACCAAGATCGATAATTTTCACTCCTAGTTTCTTGAATCCTCTCTTTGGTACTGTATAAATTCTACCATTTCCACTATGAATTTCAGTTGCTTTATGTTTATGTATAATGCATATTGATTTTTACTTTTAAAAAGCTCATCTGGGGAATCTCGACAAACAGGTTGTAAACATACTGCTAAAATGGAAGCAGCAATTTCAACGACAACTCGTTATGAGAAAGGGAGTACACCCACAAAACTGGAGGTAACACTTTACATTGCTTTGTTTAGTGATCTTGAGAAACTGTGAATCTTTGAATAAGTTTTGGATCATGATAAACGAAACTGTTAAATTTGCAGGGAAAGTTTACTGCAATGGTGGTGTGTTGGCTTCTTGGAATCGGATGTGCGTTTTCTTGGAATAGCATGCTGACGATTGAAGATTACTATGTTCATTTGTTTCCAGTAATCTCCTAATTAAACCTACCACTCATGTGGCATCACCTTCGTGTTATGTTGACTTATACATCATACGTACCATTCTTTTCAATCGAAATTAACCATGATTTTGGACGATTTTCTGTAGAAGTATCACTCCATGAGAGTCCTGACGCTCGTATACCAACCTTTCGCCCTCGGAACACTTGCGATTCTTACATATCATGAAGCCAATATAAACACCAGGAAACGAAATCTATTTGGATACATTCTCTTCTTCTTCAGTACTCTCGTTGTTCTACTTGTGAGTCCCCAAAAATGTCTCAGAACTTTTTTGGAAAATTAACAACGAAGTGATTCCGTTTGTGTCATGTATTGTAGTTGGATTTAGCAACATCGGGTAAAGGAGGAATGGGAAGTTTCATCTGCGTGTGTGTGATAAGTGCTGCCTTTGGATTAGCCGATGCTTATGTGCAAGGTGGAATGGTTGGAGACTTGTCGTTCATGCTCCCCGAGTTCATTCAAGTGAGTACCTATAAATCAAATTATTATATATTTGTAATTTGTGTGTCTGGACTTGTTTTTGACTATGTGATATAATGATTTGTCTTGTGGTTGGGGTATTTATAGTCGTTTCTAGCGGGGCTTTCTGCATCAGGAGCTCTTACCTCCACTTTGAGATTGTTTACGAAAGGTGTTTTTGATAATTCACAAAACGGTTTACGAAAGGGAGCACGTAAGTCCTTCACATTTATATACTTTTACATTTGGTTTTCTATATTGGAAAGTGGTTTTTCTTGGACCCCATAATAATCAATAGAGTGAGCAATGGAACCATGTAACCATGTATCTGCTTTCGGAAGCGAAACTGTCTAGGAGCTCTTGGTTCTGGTTCATAAAGTTTTGGAACCGTCTCAAGCAGTTTCGATTCCGATTCTCGTTTTCTGGAACTGCTACTCGCTGGATATGATATCAATATCTTTATTTTTGTGAATTATGACTTTAGGGTGTTTGGATAAGAAAAAAAAGAAGGTGTTTATTGCTTATTGTTTATTCTCACCACAATAAGTTAAGGTTAAGTGTTTGGATAAAATCCTTAAAAATCAACTTATTATATTAGGAATAAGCTAAATAAGCTAATTATAATAAGCATCTCTCTCTTGCTTATTGCTTATTGCTTATTGCATATTTCCACCTAAGGATGAGCAAAAGGACCGAACCAAACGGAACCCCCCGGAACCGGCCAGAACCGGACCCGACCTGGAAACCGGCTTCGACCAAAATCAAGATTCGAACCGGCCCGACGGTTCTACGGGTTCTTGTCGTGTTTTCAAATGTTGGAATCGGTCCTCGAAAAATAGCATCATACGGTTCCGGTTTTTTCGGTTCTACCAGTTCCAGTTATATCGGTTCTGGTTCCCGGTTCCAAAAATCCACAAAAATAACGTCCTGGTCCTGGCGTGACCGGTTCCATCGGGTTCCGGTTCGAGTTCTGATACCAGTTCCGGCCGGTTCCCAGGTCCATATGCTCATCCTTATTTCCACCACAAATAAACTAATAAACAATAAGCTAATCCAAATACCCCTTAGTCAATTAACCTTGCAAACAAGATTAAATATTTTATTTTGTGGTAAACATAACTTATCGTGTTAAATATTTTTGTCAAAAAAAGAGATAAATTCAGTGAAATATCATCATTTTCAGTTTTTATTTTAGTTTATTTATTTATTTTAAATTGACCAGAAATTTCGTAGTGGTATGTGTGAAATTAAAAACTTATTTTAAGATATTTCTTCATTTTCTTACCCAAAATAATATTAACTAAAATCTTTCTCAATCCAACAATCAATCTCCCACTATAAAAATTATTTTTGTTGCGAAATTGCTTTTAGAAAGTATGAATCAATAGAAAACGAAGAGCAATTTCACCATATTTTGAAAAAATAATTTTTTTAAGAGGCCATACAAATTGTTTTATCAATAGGCCCATAGATAAATATGCTGTCATTTGTACTAAAAAATGTCATTTTGTTAAAAACTCTCTGTTTTGACCATTTTGTGATTTTCCTAAAAGAAATTACTTTTAAAATTGTATTTAATTTTAGTAGAATAGTTTGTGAATTTGTAAGGATTTGAGACTTTACCAAAGGGCTTATAGCCTAGTGGTATTCGGTGTTGTCCTCCCTCATTGAAGTTGAGGGTTCTTGTCGTGGACATAATGGACATAATGGATTTAATGTGTATTTTAGAAATAGATTAGATTTGTCGTTTAAAAAAAAAAATGGTACAATGTGAATTGTTAGCGGAGTTAGGAGGAAACTATGTATAACTATCTAGATTAATTATTTATCCTATTAAAAAAAACAAAACAAAATACCCAAATATAAAAAGGATCCCTGCTAAGTCCAACTTTTTAGAAAATTGCTCTATTTGTTTTTTCCTCCAATTTTCTCAGTTATTTATTTCAAAAAAAAAATTTAATATAATGTATTCAAACATTATTTTATCCGGATAATACTTAATCGAAAAACAAACAAGGTCTAACATAGATAAATCTTTGTTTTGCAGTTTTATTCTTCACGCTATGCACAATCTTTGAGTTGCTTTGTGTACTTCTATATGCATTTGTGTTCCCAAAGCTTCCAATTGTAAAATACTATCGATCAAAGGCAGCTTCAGAAGGATCTAAAACAGTTTCAGCTGATCTTGTTGCCGGTGGAATTTACTCGCATTCTGGAGAGGTACTAATGTTAATGTCGTTCTATATATGTTTGCGTATTATAATACTTCATTTTAATTTATTTATGTTATATTTATATCGTTATACATATAATTATTTTTAAGTCATTACAGTAAAACAGAGCTTTTATTAGTACTTTTATACTATAACAAAGATATATGATATATACTTAATGAGATTGCTATAACCAAATAGATTTTTCAACATGCGATGTATAACATAAGGAAATAAAAATAAGATGTCACAATAAAAAGTCAATTCAAGTATAACTAACACATGACATTTTTCCAAATGGTTCTCTTTTAAAATTGTAGGTATGATTGCTAATCTTCAACCCCTCTTGGTTTCTTTGCAGATAGAATCAACTTCCAAAAAACTGGAACGATTGAGCAACAAGGAATTGTTACTGGAAAATACTGATTATGCAATCGATATGCTTTTGATATATCTATTAACACTTTCTATTTTTCCTGGGTTCTTATCCGAAGACACGGGATCACATAGCTTGGGTTCTTGGTAACATCAACACTCTCAGCACACATCATTCATCCATTATACCACAATTTATACGTAGGGTACAATCTTAGAAGCAGGAAAATTTTAACAAAAATAATAACAATAATAATAGTAGTAGTAGTAGTAGTAATAATAATAATAATAATAATAATAATAATAATAATAATATAATGAGTGTTTAACGAAAATAGTTATTAGCTGGTAGCAGGTAATGGAAAGCTGAAAGTTGGAATCTGTAGTTTCTATTTGTTATATAAGTGTTTGACAAAAATAGTTAGAAAATTTTGAAATATACAAAATTATAGCAAAGAATAATTGTTTAAATACATGAACATATTTTTAAGGAAATTCTAGAAAATAATTTAAAAATCTTAGATGTAAGTTCTTTTATATTTATTACATTTAATGTTTAAACAAAAAGTTAAACATTCGTACTACAAAATCAAGTTTTTGTTTAAGATACAATGTTTTGTCAAAAGCTAAAAGCTACAAGCTCAAACGTTCTGTATCAACGTTCTGTATCAAACACGTCCCTAAATCAATACACCATCATTATTATAGTTGGCAACAAATCATGATTCATTTAATTAATGATCTTCATTGGTTCTATTCCAAAAACAAAATTACTACTTTTTTCCTATTGGAATAAGATGGACCAAAACCAAAGTGAAGAGACCAATAAAAAAATTAAGACCAAAGTAAATGCATATGTTAAACCCTAGGTAAAATGATAATTTCACCCTTAGCTTTTTCAACTTCGGCAAAGAAAATTTCTAAAATCAACATCAAAGATAAAAATCCTAAACCAAATCACACAAAAATCCCTTAAATTGGCTTGGTATCTTTTTGCATCAAAGTGTATATACCTTTCAACACGATAAAACATATCTCGTGTAAGTTATCATCAAAACAAAAAACTATATATACCTTCCAACAAGATAAAACATATCTCGAGTAAGCTAGTCGCAACAACCATTTTAAAACTCTTTCTAAAAGGTAAACACATTTTTCAATGACATAGCTAGAATTTTGTTTTACGGTAAACCAAATGATTCATAAAATATAAACAAGTAGCAATATAAACAAATAGCAAAATAATTCAAAAACTTTGAAACACAATTTATTAAAATTGTCTAATCAAATCTTGATTAATTAAGAAAATAGGGGAAAAATAACAAAGCTAATGAACAATAATGATGTGATCTACTCAAAAACTTACATGTTCGTGGCAAAAATTATTATTTTCATATAGAATTTAAAGTTTTTAATGGATGGATCATATCACAATTCACATCCCTAGCCTCTTTTATTTAACAAATATATATATATATATATATATATATATATATATATATATATATATATATATATATATATATATATATATATATATATATATTATCTTTTTTATTTAACAAAAATATATATTCTATATATAATATATATATAAAACTTCAAATTTGTATGTGTGGGCCAAGGCTCATGGTTGTATCTATGTGGCTACCTTTTTGAAAAATAGAATTCAACAAATAGTCGAACTTGTAAAAATAACTAATGTTATGAAAAGAAATTTATAAGATAGACCATATCATTTGTAATCAAAGATAAGGTTGACATAACTGTATATATATTACTACATATGCACTAGACATTAAAGGATGCATTAGATAAACACTAGTGCGTAACATAAGAGAAATAATTATTGTTTCATCATATCATCATATTAAACCATAAGTCTTTCAATCGATATTATCTGTAATAAGCAGTTAAAGCTCTCATCAAAAGTCATATATGATGAGCAACAAAGTTTTTATTAAAAGCCATCTATAATGAGGAATGAAGCTCTAATCGAAAGTCATATATAACGAACAAAGAACTCTATTAGCCTAGTTTATATTTATGTAAACTATTAGATTTATTGTATACTTGAGGGGTGTATACTGTATCATTTATCTAGTATTTATATAAGATAACTCTCATGCTGGTGTGGTATTCCATTCATTACATGGTATCAAGAGCCCTTCAACCCCTCCCTTCCTCTCCCTCCTCATAACCGACTCCTCCATTGTTTCCGGCGATCTCACCATGGTCGGCTCCTCTAATGACTCCATCCTCCCGATGAACACCCTCATTCATCTCATCACCATTCGTCTCTCTTCTTCCAATTATCTTTTGTGGGTAAATCAAATGGTTCCCCTCCTAAATTATCAACATCTCCTTGCACATATCGATGGCTCCTCGGAAGCTCCACCCACTCATCATACCGTGGACGCCAAGCAAGTTGAGAATCCGGCCTTTGCAGAATGGCAAGCCGCCGATCAACGCACGGTTCTTCTCCTCCAAGCCTCCCTCACGAAGGAAGCTTTTTCTGAAATCGTGGGTCTTTCCTCCGCCCGCGCCATCTGGACTGCTCTCGAATCCGCCTATGGAAACTCGTCCATGGAACGGGTTCAAAATCTACGCGACCAACTTCGGCTTCTCTCCAAGGGTGACTCTCCCGTTTCTGATTATGGTCGCAAGTTCAAGGCCATTTGTGACCAACTAGTGGCTATTGGTCAAGCCGTTGATGAATCCGACAAATGTCATTGGTTTCTATGTGGCCTTGGCGGCAGTTTTGAAGCTTTTTCCATTGGGGTTCGCACCTCGCGTATCACTCACTCATTCCGGGATCTCCTTGCGTAAGCCGAAAGCCATGAATTGTTCATCAAATCGATCCATGGGCAGCCCACCCCTGCTGTCGCCTTTTCCGCTGTTTCAGCGCCTAGCGGGGCTGCTCCCGCGTTTTCTGTTGGTCAGGGTCGCGGTGGTGGCTCCGGTGGTCGTGGTGCTTTTTGTGGCGGTCGTGGTCGCGGCCGTCGGCCTCCTCATTGCCAACTATGTAGACTAAATGGGCATTTTGCTAGTGCTTGCCCTCGACTTTCCACTTTTGCATCTAACTCTATTCCAAATGAAAGGGTCTTGACGAAGGCGTTTTTAGCGAATTGTCGCGTCACTCCACCCGCTCCGGATTGGTATGTTGACTCCGGGGCCTCAGACCATATGGTCTCCTCCTCGGGCTCGGTCACTCAATCCGAGCCTTTCCAAGGCGACGGTTCAGTTCATTTTGGTAATGGTACAACTCTTCATCAAAATAAGAAGTGGACTCTTGTTCCTCGTCCGTCTCATGCCAATATTTTCGGTTGCCGGTGGTTGTTTCGCACCAAGTATTGTGCGGATGGGACGGTTGAGCGCCACAAAGCTCGCCTTGTTGCGCAAGGATTTAGTCAAGTTCCGGGTCTTGATTTCTCTCATACGTTTAGTCTGGTGGTCAAGGCGGCTACTGTTCGTGTTGTTATCACTCTTGCCGTTGTTAATGGTTGGCGGTTGTGCCAACTCTATGTGAACAATGCCTTCCTTCACGGCACCTTGGATGACACAGTGTTCATGCACCAACCCCCGGGCTTTGCGTATGCTCGCCATCCCGACTATGTGTGCAAACTTAATAAAGCTATTTATGGTCTAAAATAGGCACCGCGTGCATGGTTTCATCGTCTCAGTTCGTTTTTAGTTCAACATGGTTTTACTTGTAGCCGTGTTGATCCGTCTCTATTTGTGTTTCGCCGAGACTCCTGCATTATTTATTTGTTGGTCTATGTTGATGACTTGATTGTCACCGGCTCCGATGATGCTATCATATCCTCGTTTATTTCTCGTCTTCATGCTGAGTTTCGTATTAAAGATCTTGGGCGGCTAAATTACTTTCTTGGCCTCGAAATTGTGCATCATTCTAGTGGCCTGTTTCTGTGTCAGGCCAAGTATGCTCATGACATTGTCTCACGTGCCGGTATTCTTCATGCCAAACCGGTGCCTACTCCTCTTGCTGCCAATACCGTTTTGGTTCGTGACAGTCCTGCCTTTGCCGATCCCACCCTCTTCCGCTCGTTGGTTGGCACTCTGCAATATTTGACCATTACTCGCCCCGACATTTCCTATGCGGTTAACCAACTTAGCCAGTTTCTTGCTGCTCCTACCGAGGCTTATTTTCAGGCGGTCAAACGCCTTATTCGCTATGTCAAGGGTACTCTATCGTTTGGCCTCACCTTCACACGCCCTCGGTCTGTTGCTATTGTTGGTTATTCTGATGTCGATTGGGTCCGGTGTCTTGGAACTCACCGCTCCACTTATGGGTACTCAATATTCCTGGGGGGTAATCTTGTATTATGGAGTGCTAAGAAACATCCCACAGTTTCCCGCTCCAGTTGTGAGTCTGAATATCGAGCCATGGCGAACACGGCAGCTGAAATTATTTGGATTACTCATCTGTTACAAGAGTTATATGCTTTGCCCACCGGTCGTCCTACACTTCTTTGTGATAATCAGAGTGCATTATTTCTCACTAAAAATCCAGTCGCTCACAAACGTGCTAAACGCATTGACCTTGACTATCATTTTGTTCGAGAGCTAGTTGCATCCGGAAAACTGGTCACCATGTTTGTTCCTACCAAGCTTCAAGTCGCTGACATCTTCACCAAGAGTCTTCCTCGACCGCAGTTTGAGCAGTTTCGTCGCATGTTGCGCCTTGGGTCACCGCCTCTTGCTTGAAGGGGGGATATTAGTCTAACTTATATTTATGTAAACTATTAGATTTATTGTATACTTGAGGGTGTATACTGTATCATTTTTCTAGTATTTATATAAGATAACTCCCATGCCTATTGGTGTGGTATTCCATTCATTACAAACTCATTAAGAAGTAAGTCCACCATATCAAACTATGGTCAAAAGCCCGATGTACTATGTTATCATACATGTTTCCCTTCACTTCCATAAATATCAACAACTCTTTAGAAGGTTCTATTTAATAAATTGATGAATAATTCCAACAAAATTCAATCTCCATTACTTGGAAATAGAATTTTCGGTCAAGATCAAGAAGTTCTCACTTCTCAGTTCTCACCTTATACTCTCTAGAAATCGTTCGAATGAAGAATTGGGAGAAGCCTCAGAGGTTTAAGATATTTAATT